TTAGTGGATAACAATTGTAAAAAATGAGTGAAAACAATCCCACGGACAATGCGACGGATTTAAGGTTATGTCAAGGTACGTCTCTTGAGAATATCAATTGATTGTTAGGTTTTCTCTTTTCTAATTGCCATTTATATGTCACCAAAAGCAGCCATGAGGGATATTAAGTTATTTATTGCAAAATCTTTATTGCCACTATCCACTGCAGGTTCACAAGCTCTGGCAGACGTTACTGGTGAAGAAATTGATTATTGTGAGCGGTCTGTGATCCTTGCAGGAGATTTTAATGTGAATTTCTCGTTACCTGAAACTCAAACATTATTAACCTTCCTTAAAGACAAATTTGGATTGGAAATGATAAATGGTAGGAATGATCCGCTAAATGGAGGGTAAAATNAAAAAATAGAACTCAAACATTTCGTATCTTACTTTAGTTATCATAATCCGATTGTAAATGTTATAGATGTGGATATTTCTCCACTCGAAAATGATAATTGAAAGATGCGATCAATTGTGAATTGTAAGCATTGTTAATAAAGTTTGCCTTAAAGAAACAATATGATTTCACTAAAAATCAATTTCTACCCCTTCCTATTTTCATTTCCACATTACGAAGTTTCACTTCTTCCGCGCGGAGGGACTCCACGCACTATTTTTTCTTCTTATTTTATCGCATTAAATTAATATTTTTTTTATATGAAATTATCTTTGGAATTCAATTCACAGTAAAAAACTGTTTTTATAATTGTGTACAAAATAAGCCACCACCGAAAATGTCTACCACATCTTTCGAAAGTTTCCTTTTTCGCTTTAGGCTTGTCAAAGTCAACTTGAAAAATGAATTTTTTAAAATTTTTAATTTTTATATTTGAATTTTTATATATGAATTTTTTAAAATCTTTAATAAAAAAAAATTACTCAAATATGTTTATTTCCATACAAAACAAAAAATTAAGCGAAAGAAATGTTACATATGTATTAACTAGCTTTGTAAATATGTTCATTACTTGGAGAAAAAATATCAGTTTTTAAATATTCTGTTTAAAAAAAACTGAGCGCGTAATTTTAATGTAAATGACATAATTGATAAAGTTTTCATTAAGGTAAACAATGCAAATGAAAGCTTTTATCAAGGTTTTATCAGGGTTTTTAGAAATATTTCACAACTTTAAAAAATAAAATTTGCCATCGAAGCTCTAAGCAGCAAAATTAAGTATCAAATAGTCAGACTGACTGTTTGACTTTAATGATATAGTTAATAAAATTTTCATTCAGGTAAACAATGCTATTTATGAAAGCTTTTATCAAGGCTTCCTCAAGGTTTCATCAAGGTTATAAAGGTAAGCAATGTAATTTATGAACGCTTTTATCAAGGTTTTTAGAAATGTTTTAACAACTTCGAAGAATAAAATTTGACATCGGAGCTCTGGGTGGCTCAATTAGTGGTCAAACAGTTAGACTGACTTTAGTGACTAAACTTATTTTGGCGAATCGCTTTGTTAATTGCTTGCCACTGGTCAAGTGAGTAAAAAAAAGTTCACCTACATGTAGAGGGATGCTAGATTGTAGTGTGCTTTAGCGTAGAATGGATTGAAGGCTATTGCTTGGCGAAAATGTTTTTCCTTATCTTCGAAGTCCTCCAACAATGCTCCAAGATTGTTGTGAGTTGTTGAATACGTTGGCCACAACCTGTAAAGAGCAAGACAATTTTAAAACTTTAAAATGAAGCTATTAATGAACACTTATAAAGAAGCTTTGAATAAAGAATCTTAAGAATAATTACAAAGAATCTTTCAATAAAGAATCTTAAGAATAAGAATCCTTGTAATTAGTATTTCCAAGATCCCTTGTATTATCGGTTTAAATTAATTTTTTATAAATAATAAAAATCTTAGAAATGTCTACATTTGTGGGAGACAGCATATTGTGGAATGTGCAGTTTTTTTTTTTATTCTCTCTATTTCAGAAAAATCGTAAATGAGAAAAAAAAACAATAAATAACTAGTTCGAGAATTATTAACTACTAACTTGTAGGAAAAAAACGTCATGCGGGCCGCTTTATAGGTCGTAGGAATACATCTTCAGAGATGAAATTTGGCATGCTGAAATGACTATATTTATTTATGAATTTAAATCAAAGTTTTTTCAAAATTTCAACTGGGTCGGAAAGTATTGCAATTTTAAGTGCATTATTTACAATTTTTTATCATTATTTTTTACTTTACGTTAAATTTTAAATAGCTGCATAAAATTTATGAGAATTATAAATTATAAAGGTATGTGGGTAAAAAAAATGCAGATAGTACGACTTAATATAAAAAGTTAAGATTCGACTATTAGTTTGAGAATTATTAACTGTTAAACTTGAAAGGGAAAAATACCATGTTTGGGTCAATCTGCAGTTCGCTGACATGCAAATAGGAGTTAAAATTTGACATCCAGAATGAACAACTTTCACTTGAGAACTTAACTTCAAAATTTGCTCCGAAATTCTAATTTTTTTGAAAATTGTTGCAAATTCATGTTTTATCACGATTTTTTTAATGTTTTTGCTTTAGATATTCATGGGATAGAGCGATCGCATTCCAAATAGGGCCATAGGTTCGGATCCCAGCGATGACTACTCGAAACGTGTTACGTTCCCAGGTCGCACCAATCACAGTGCTTATGAAAAATTTTCTCAGTTGTAGACGAATGTCCTGGCAATCGAGCGAACCGTGGTTTCAGTGGTTTTTCTCACCATATAACGTAAATGAGGGTTAGATCCATTAAAAAAGTCCTCCACGAAGTGTAGTTGGTTCCAATGCTTGATATAGAAGTTCCCTTGTCTTCCGGATAGAGATTAAATATGCAAGGCCATGGAGAGTAACATTGATAGTCGTAAACTCAAAATTGGGTCGACTGCTCAAAGTCGGTTATAAAACAACACAATAAAACAATGATAACATTTCAATCAATCTCTTAATTTTACCGTCGAAATTTAATTCACAGATAAATATTAGTGTAAATATTCACAGAAACAATGTCTGGTAACTGACTAATTGTAAATAGTATTTTCAAACTGATTTACGTTTGAAAAATGATTTATTCCTGTTTTTGTTTCACTTTTCTTGCATGAAACAATGGAATGCACGATTGCTCTTCAGATGCGATTCGAAGCAGAAAACAATGCCATTTTGTCGAATTTTTTTAAAGCCCACTAAAACGCATCCCCGTTGCCAAAAAGTACATCATAATATAAAAACTAATTGCGAAAGTGCACAAGCGCAGGGACTAGGCAGTAGAGCTCGTGCGTAAAAATTACTCACGCTTCTGTAGTTGAATTACCATCTCGTCGAATGGCAACGGCCAATTTATGGGTTTAGTGTCGAATTATGCCCATCTGTGGCGCTGTTAATGTCCTTTTTAACTCGTAAGTTAAGTAGGGTCGTTAAACTCTGTTCAAATCTTGATGGCAACGATGGATGGATTTTTATCTTGCTTTTTATTTTTTAGTATGTGATGAAAAGAAACGGTCACTCAAGAAATTTTTTTAAAAAAAATAAGATAAAAAAATAAAACTTTTTAAGAGAGTTCTATGCAAATATATGAAAAAACTCTTTTTGCACACAAATGGTGCCTTTGCTTATTGCGTCAGATGTAAATGAAACGGAGAAAAGTATTTGCGATTGGTTTTAAAAGTAAAAGTTTGGCCTTTAAAAAACAAATGTGAAGTTTGAAATTCTAAAGGGAATAAGAATTTTATAACTAAATTCAATAACCCACAAAATATAAAATCTTGAATCTACGTTGTCTGCACAATTAAGAAACAAATTCGTGCGGAATAACTTTTGATCTAATGATACCTCTTCATTTACAAAGCATGCTTAAATAATAGATGCAGATGATATTTCAAATTACAAAACTAGACATAATAGTTTTTTTCCGCATAAAGATACAGTAAAACCTCGCTTATCCGAAGTAATTGAGACCGGACCTGATTCGGATAATTGAACTATTCGGATTATGGAGATGCTACCGTGAATGACCAAAATCAAGAGAATGTCGACTTTCACCGGTGAATGTCAATAATCACTTTGTCGCTTTAATGAATGTCTGAAATATTTGTTGTAATCCGATTTTATATTAATTTATTCGCTGATATTATTACATTTATTAGATATTTTACACAGCTAAATAGCCGTTGAAGGAGGTAGGTAGCTCTTAGAGGTTACCTCATTGGCTTCAAAATTGTTACCGAAGGTACATGGGGGCCGGGACAGCATGGTTGGTAAGGCACTGAGCCCATGTCCAAGCAGTCGTGGGTTCGATTACCGTCTGCCAAAGAATCCCGTGTCGTAAATGGTGACTGATGCACGTTAAATCTGTCGAGTCACGTAGACCTCCATTTTCCAAAAACAGATCATACCTCCTGGGGTACAGACCCAGGAGTTTCCTAGCCTTCTGGAGAGGTTCAAAAGTAAGGCTACGGAGTTGAACACAGTAGTCGTAAACCCTAAATTAGGTCGGCTGTTCAACGACGGTTATAAAATCGAAGGTACATGATAGCTAACGATTTTAATTTTGGTTGGTGTCTGTTTCTTGATGAGGAAATGCCACTTCCGTTGGCCTTATGAAAAGAAGACTCAATGAATAAAATTTAGCGTCTATAAAAATAACCCCAACTGATATAGTTATGCGTAAAAACAAATTTACCAATCATGAATAATAAAACTAGTTTAAATAAATAAACAATTATGTTTTTCTTTGAAGTTTGCATTTAGTTTTATATCATAAAAATGAGTTAACTTTAAAAGAAGAGTTTTTTTTTGTTTGAGATGCTTGTTTTTTTTAAATAATTTTTTTTTCTAATTTAACTTTCAATTCTAAAAGTAAATCATGAATAGCATCGTTCTTAAGACTTGGTTTCTTAAGGTCTGGTTTCTTAGGACAAGCGCCTTATCTGGGCGTCGGCGTGACGTCAACGTACCGCTGACGCCAACAAAATAGCCAACGGACGCCAACAACAAAGGTTAGCGCTGATTGGTCCATTTATGAGTTTGATAGTATGCGTCATCGAACGCTCATCTTGAACTACAATTGCCGTCCAACTCAACTGCAGTTGGATTACAACGTGACGTTAACCACAGAAGCAATGGCGGACAACATCCAACAGCACATTGAAATCAGCCAAGATTTTGATTTTGACATTAAACATAGCTTCTTCATTAAACATAGCACTCTTCATTTAGCTCAGCTATAATGTGTTTTTTCTTGGACAAAGTCATTATTTGTTCTCTAAAACACTGGTCGACAATAACAAAATCAATACAAATTCAAAATAAATATTTGTTTACGTTATTAACGCATGCGCAATGAGAGATAATGTCTGCGTTGGACCGACTGCTCACGCTGAGCTAACAAAAAAGTATTTTTTTGGCGTCAGCTCTACGTCAACTTTCCGCTGACGCCCAGATAAGGCGCTAGTTCTAAGAAACCAGGCCTTGAGCTAACAAACCAGTATTTTGTTGGCGTCAGCGGGACGTTGACGTCCCGCTGACGCTGAGATAAGGCGCTTGTCCTAAGAAACCAGACCTTTTAGTGAACTCTGACTGCAACATCGGTGAGGTTGGATCGTCAAAAAGAACTCATAACTAATCACTAAATAAGAGTTTCTCACAAATATTTCGAATATATTTTAATCTATTTATTTGTTCTGTAAAATTTTTTGCTTTGATAGTTTTTTCGTGTTTTCAGTATTTAGTGCAGATGTTTTCCCGGTCGCTGGGAAGGTCTTAATGGTCTTTCCTAAAAGTTTTCTCCAACATAAAGTCTATGGAAAAAACTCCTTGCCTCTCAAAAGTGGTCGTAAATAGAAGTGATCTTTCCCGGAGGTTTCCCCGTATCTTACTCTAAATAATATTTTTATTCATTTTAAAAAACAAAGGTCAATGATTGATGTGACTTCTACAAAATGAACCTTATATTAGTAAATTATTGGACATCAAATTTGTACAAAGCATGCTTTTCTCATAAGTCTAACAGTTTCTTCATTTCATGATTTGTTACATTTTTTTCCACAACATTTTCTACATTGAAGGCTTATAATTCTACAAGTTGTTTCATATGTTTCGTGGATGGCTTAGATTTTGTCTATCGGTAAATGAAAAACTGTTAAGTAACTGTTGAGTAACTGTTAACATGGTGTGTAGCGTTTTTAAAAAGTGCTTAAAGGTGCTTATTTTCAATTTTCGTTATTTAAAAGCCCTTAAAGATGTTTTTTTCATTGGGTGTTTTTAAAAAGTGCTTAATTTTCCCTTTTCAAAAACGAGATTTTTTCTTTTTCTTTACCATGTCGATTTTCGCCACGTATTATGCAAAAGCGTGCTTTTCACTTTGTTCTATTCAACGTTTTCACAAATCCTTTCGGCCGGTCCATNCCCTTTTCAAAAACGAGATTTTTTTTTTCTTTACCATGTCGATTTTCGCCACGTATTATGCAAAAGCGTGCTTTTCATATTGTTCTATTCAACGTTTTCACAAATCCTTTCAGCCGGTCCATAGCGTATGTAAGCGCCAATCATGTTTGATGAAATACTTGCTAGTCCGTATGTGCGTCTACTGAGTTGGGTTCGGTGAGATTCTTGTACTCTCATGTGCAACTCTGCTGCATTTTGCAACATTTCGCAATTTCAGACTTCATTTTACAC